AAAAAAAAAGCTGCTCCAGAACACCTTTCTCAAAACTAAATATCAACTCCTCCAGGAGCCCAGACTGCCTGAACTTTAAACTTGTAATTGCTCTAGAAAACACATGTGCTTTCCAAGCCTCCATGACCAGGAGGAGCCAAAGCCTAAACTCCTACTCAGCTCTGAGAAGTGGGAAAAAGGGAGCCATGAGGGTCAGCCCGCACCCAAATACTGCAAAGTAGTCTTTTGGAAAAATTGGTTTAAGGTTCTTCCAAGAAGGGATCTTCTCTTTGAGGAAAACAGTCGACAGAATTTATTGCAGAAGCAGAGAAAACCCTGTGGATGCTTATGTCAACCCTCTTTAATCACTGAGTTGATAAGCAGATAGCTTCTAAAAGTCACATTTTTGGAAGTCACAGAGTTTAGCAAAATCAGTCTTAGACTGAAAATTAGAAGTCCAGGGTTCTGGTATCAACTAAGCCATTAGCATTCTCTGTACCCTTGGATGAGCTTCTTAATTGTCTCTGGAATTCATTTCTCTATTCATTTTCATACTTTGTCTATAAAGTCCGAATTCCAGAGATGATACAGATAAATAGAATCAAATGTTAAAATTTCTGCAGAAGGGTATTCTAGAGCAATGGTCTCAAAACTTTGATTATGAATCTCTACCAGTGTAAACTTTGAGCATGAACCCTCAATATGTGTGTACATTCATGTACATACACACAATCAACTCACATTAAACATTTAGCTTAATTTTTCTAGAAAAAAATAGCTATTTCAACATTCTTTTTCTATATACCACTGGATCATCTTGCATACCCCTTAGAGGGTATATAAATTTCCACTTTGGGGGACTAATTCTTTAGAAAGCCAAAAATGATGACAATAATAAAACACAACTACTTTGGGGATGAGTTGTTATGCTTACAATGTAAATTTCAATGGAAATGAAGAAACTTAAAACCATTTCAACTCTGGTGCAGAAATCAGAGTCACTGCCTGCTATGGACTGAATTCTGTACTGTACCCCCAAATTCATATGCTGAAGCCATAACTCTCAAGCTGACGTATTTAGAGATGGGGCCTTTGGGAGATATTAAGGTTTAGATGAAGTTATAGGGTGGAAGCCCTCTGATGGAATTAGTGCCCTTATAAGAGACATCAGAGAGTTTGCACACACACTCTCATTCCTGGGAATTCTCCTCCACTTCCCCCGAGCCCCCACCACATGAGGAATAGCAAAAAGGTGATTAGATACAAGCCAGGAAGAGAGCCTTCCCCAGAAACCAACCATGCTGGCACCTTGATCTTGGACTTCTAGCCTCCAGAACCATGAACAAATAAATTTCCATTATTAATATTTAAGCCACCCTGTCTACAGTATTTTGTTATGGCAGCCTGAGCTTAGACAATGGCCAAATTAAAGGAGGCAGAGATGCTATGACTGTGCCCTAGGCCCAGTATAGGAGCCATTCTAGAATCTTTTCCATCACCAAAGAATATAATCTGAGGTTAGAGACCATATTTGACCCAAATCCAAACTATCTCCTTCATTCTTCAATGCATTATATTCCCAACAAATTCACTGTTTTTACTTTGATTAACTTCCATGTAAAATCCAGTCCAGAGCAAACCATGCTGAGCTAGGAAGAGCTGTTGAGCTCACTGCCCAAGGTAGCTGGAGGAGTTTAATTAGATTAACTCTACCCGCCTGTACTCTAAAAATAACGATAAACCCCTGCCAAACTGAAAGTTAAAGAGTAAACTATTGGAGGATGGGGAAAAAAGACTCAGGTGTCATTTTAATTCCACCAGGAAATTCCAGTGACCTAGATTTTTCTTGTCTTAGTAAGAGCAGAGTTAATACACTGGATAAGAGTACTTCATAAGAGAGGTACCAAGCATCTCTTGTTTAAAACCACTGGGGATGATTTTTCCCCCTAATACTGATAAAAAAATCTGTACATACAAGAGACCATGTATACAGGTTGAGTATCCCTTATCTGAAATTCTTGGAACTAAAAGTGTTTTGAATTTCAGATTTTTAATATTTGCATTATTCTGGTTGAGCATCCCAAACCCAAAGATCCAAAATCCCCGGATGAGCATTTCCTTTGCACACCATGCTGGTGCTCAAAAACTTTCAGCTTTCGGAGTATTTTCGATTTCAGATTTGGAATGCTCAACCTGTACTAGAATAACTGGACACCCAACTACCAAAAAAAAAAAAAGAACTTCAACCCATATGAATAAACAAAATCTAACTCAAAGTGGATCACAGACCTAAACATAAAAGTTAAAACAATACAACTTCCAGGAGAAAACAAAGGAAATAATCTTCATGACCTTGGGTTAGGCAACTATTTCTTAAGACAGGACACAAAAAGCACAAAAGAAAAAAATTAATAAATTGGACTTATCGAAATTAAAATCTCAAGAGACACTGTTAAGACAATGAAAAGACAAGCTATAGACTGGAAGAAAATATCTGCAAAACACATACTTGATAAAGGACAGGAACCAGAATATATTTAAAACCATCACAACTAAATAATCATCACTTGAAAAGATCCCCAGCATTATTAATAATTAAGAAAATATAAATTAGATGAGAATACAGTAAACACCTATTAG